CCCCCACACCCCCGGCCCCAAAGAGGCTCTTATCTAGAACATAGGGCTTAGGGGGCCTTTCTGTGACTCAGGCTTCAGTCAGCTCCTGGCACGGCCAGGTGTTAGAATGCCTGTGGTCTCTTCTTCAGAAAATAACAAAGTTGTCTGATGCCAAAGGAAAGGCTTTCTGTACTTGCTGACTTACACCAGCTTTGTCCTACAAGGGCCGTTAAGTGTCTGTACAAGTGGAAACTGACTTTCAGACCTGTCCATCTGAGGTTTCTGCTCCTTTAGCTCAGTGAAACCAAAACTGTGCCCCTTCCTCCTGGTGGGCCCTTGGGGTCAGATGAAGGTACTTCCCCTCCACCTCAGCATGTCAATTCTAAACCCAGCAGAAGCAGAACCATGTTCTCCACAAGATTAGTGATCCCTACTCTCTCCATTTGCATGGCCCCATCCACGGGCCTTCCTCTGTCCCTGACATTTTCTAAAATTAGCTTTATCAGTCCTTCCAGCATTTTAACTCCCTTGAGCTGTTTGCACAACCGTTTCCTCTTGAAGTGGCTGTTTACCACGGCAGCCTTTACACGTGCCAGACTAGCAAAACTCACTCAGGACACATTGCAGCTTCTTTCCACACTAGCCGTCCAACCAAATTCAGAGACAGCTTAGTTCTTGCCCCCAAGAGCTTCCTAGAAAGGTGTTGTAAATAAAAATGAAGAAAATTATCCTTCTTTAGCTAAGGATATACCTCAATTATACCCAGGAAGTCTTGCTTTCTTCCAGAATTCTTGAGTAATGCAAATATATGTATATATATATTACCATGCACTCTCATAGCATTATAACAGATTCAAGTTCAGGAATTCTAAAGGTGGTACATGACATTCAACGATACCTTCGTTGCCAGATACAGGTACTGTGCTGTGTTTTATTTTTTGTATATAGATTCTTGAATATCTGGGGTCTTGCTGACCCTGGAGGTCCCAGAGCTAGCCAATTCCTAGGGATAGTAAATAACTCGCCCTCAAGCTATTTACTCACTAATCAATACAACCGACAGAACCCACACCCCAACCACACCCCCTACCTCCTCCCACACATAGGGTTCCTATTCCCCTGCCCTCACCACCCCAGGGCCAGGTACCAGACATCCAGGGTAGCCCCTAGGCCCAGAGCCCACTGAACTTACTCAAACTGGTCAACCTGAATGTTTCAGGAAGAAAGCATGATTTTGCTATAAAGCAGGGTATTATTCTGGCTAAGAAAGTCCTTTGTAGAGCCGACTAGAAGTACCGTGATGGGGCATCACGTTAATATACCACAAATCACAAAAGATGATGGAGTTTCCCGGGGCCTTTGGTTTCTAAAGCACAGATTGGGTCCAACTGTAAAACTTACTTATGAAGCAAATGAACATAGTCCCAATCACCTAAACCATTTGTATCAAATATTCTGGGTTCTAACACATCCTATTAAAACTGTCCCGGGGGTTGGTATGAAAAGCAAGGTTCCTGTGATGCTGTTCCCTCATCTAGCCTCCTTCTGTCTATCTCTGGAGTAAAAGCCACTCAAAGGCAGTTTTACTTGACCTTGTCTGCCTAGCAGTTGCCACACAGTAGGTGCTTGATATTTACCAAATGAAGAAATGCTCTGATCATCTTTTGATAACAGTGTAGGAGATGACGTGAGAGATCAAGGGTGTCCATTTAAGGGATTAAGTAAGTAGGTGACTGGTTTTGGAGCTGAGAATTAAAGCTACTCCCTTTGGCCCAAACCGCTGCATTCCCCTTATAACCCGCCACCTCTCAGAGAGGAATTTAAGACCCTTATTTGGTGGCTGTGGACATCTTGGCATCCTCTGACCTTTAGCTGACCTCTAAAGCCTATCTAATTCTGCAGGCCTTCAGCTAACAACAACCCCTCAGTGAGCAATTTGCCTGGGTCTGGACGGGCACTGTGACAGAGGGCTGAGCTCCTGGGGGTGTCGGGTGCCCCCGCTGCATGGTGGCACTTACCAGGGGCTCCAGCTCCTTGCGGTCTATGAGGTTCATCTCCGTGACGAAGTAGTAGAAGTGCTTGTAGCAGGTGTTGACATGCGCCTCTGCGCCCATCACAATGACCCGGTCGAAGTGGTGGATGTAGACATGGACGAAGACCCGGAACAGGCGGCACAGGATCTTCTTGCAGATCTGGAGGAAGTTCTTTGGGAAGGGAACACCTAGGGAAGGCAAAGAACAAAGCCGTGACGGGAGGGCTCCGGCAGCCCCAGGGGCCATGCGCCAGCTGGAGAGTGGTCCTGGCCTGGGCGCCCAGGCCAGCCTGCACATGAGCGGCTGTGTCCAACGCTGCCTAAAACAAGTGCTACAATCAAACGCCAGCCAGGAGGAGCCCACCCCAAAGAGGCCTGGTTTGTTCCTTTGGTTATATTTTATTTTGGTGCAAATAAATGTGCAGAAATATTTATTTTTGCATAGAAATATGCACTTTCCCTTACTGCCTTTTAATTTTTCCCTACTTTACAGGGTACAAGAAAGTTCATTTCCCTCTTATCTCTAATATAAGAAAACTGGTAAGAGGAGGGTGATGCTGCAGGGAGGCTGGCATTCCCTGTCACAGGGTACTAGGGAGTGGTGCAGACTGTGGCAAACGCAACTCCAGCCAATGGTGGCCATGTGGGGATGGAGGCCCAGGACTGTTACAGCTTGGGATTTTTCAAGATAATTAAAAAATCTGGAGCTCTATGTGACTTGCTGCATTTTTTTTTTTTTTTTAAAACACGTTAGCAATTATAATCTGAAAATTTTAAAAATACCACGGCTCAAAGCAAAACATCTTTCTAGGTTAGTGTCACCTGCAGTTACCAGTACACAAATTCTGATGCGGCCCTTTCCCGAGAGACACTGTTTCTGCGGTGGACAAAGGCGGCAAACTTGAGCAATATTTTACACTGTATTGATTACCACTTCATCGCTTGAGGAGGGTAAGAGGGAGGGCTCTGTTTCTGATAACACAGATGGGTGCATGGTCAGACGGGCGCCCCAGTTCCCCTTCTGAGGGCAGCTGCTCCCGGCTTGGTCAAGCAGCAAACAGCAATTCCCAAGCCTACTTCCTCTCTCCCTTTCAAGCCCTGCTTAAGCTCCTGTTATTTACACTGTCCTTAGGTGATGACACGTTACGGATTTCTAAGTGAAACACACTTTGAATTCCTGCTCTGTTCCTTTTCAAGCTGTACTTGACCTCTCTGACCTTCAGATTTTCTATATGTAGGATGCGGATAAAAATTCCGACGGCTGTGAGGATTAGAAGAGGTGCCTGTGCAACTCCAGTTTCCCGCCTGTAACAAGGGGTCATGACAAGGCCTTGCATGGCTAGGCGGGCGTTAACGCAAGTAAAATCCTCCTACAGCGCCTAGAACAGGGTTAGAGCTCACTGAGAGGGAATGGCCCCCTTCTCTCAGAAAGGCCAGGTCTACAGCACTAGCTGTTGTTAAAAGGAAAATACCCTTATCGAGAAAGGGAGACATGGCCACGGGCCTTTCAACAGCGCTGCAGAGCTGTGCTCAAGGCGTGCCCCTGGGCCCACAGAGCCTAGGGTTTGCTGTCTGTGCCCCCGCAGGCTCCCCGTGGCAGCTGTCTGGTAAGAGACGCTCTGAAACGGGATCACCTGGGACTCCCAGGGCAAGATGAGAGATGGCACACGGCTGGCAGTTGGCAGAGGCAGGATCTGCCTCCCCAGGGCCCTGCACTGATACAGGCTTTTCTTTAAAAACAAAGTGGCAACGTATCAAGTGAACCCAGGAGAGACTTGGGCATAGCTTGGCAGCTGACTGTCTCGGCAACAGATGCTGGGATTTGGGGGCAGGGAGGCGGTAAAGCTGGGGAGGAGGTGGAGGGCAGCCCCTCAAAGAGTTTATGGGCTGTTTCCTCTGTTGGAGGGCTGGGGGGGGGGAACCCCTGCTGCAGGCTGGAAGGGGGTCTGGAGTCTTCTAAGCAGCTCGAGTCCCAACGAGGATAGATCCCCTCGAAGACAAGAGTGTTCTGTCAGAAGGGGCATCCTGTAGCCACACAGCGACAGTGCCGGGGTGGACATATGTCACCTTCCAGCCTGCCTGTGAAGCAGGCTGTCCTCCTGTGTCACAGATGAAGAGCACTGGGGCTCTGGGACGTGGATGTACTCGCTCCAGGCCGCTTAGCTAGTGGCAGGGCTGGGATTTGGACCAAGTCAGCTTAGCTTGCCTCTAAAATCCGAGAGATCTGGCTGTGTTTGGAGTGTGCCTCTCTCTCTGTCAGGGATAGAGGCATAGCTCCATTGCTAAGCACAACGAGGCATCTAAAGGTTGCTCTTTGGTGCCATGAAAATACAATTTAAGACAAGAAAAGGGAGAGAAGGGTGAAAAATGCCCACACCGGNACAAGAAAAGGGAGAGAAGAATGAAAAATGCCCACACCATAGGGAGCCACAGAACCAAGGTGATGGAGGTCAGCTAATACCACCTGCAGTGTCCCCAAGGAGAAATGAGTTTTCTCTGTTCACGCCTTAAGGCCATGGATCTGAGACACAGAGTAAGAGCGAACATTTACTGAGCACTTACTGTGTTCCAGGGACTGTGCCAAGTGCTTTGCTTGGATTACCTGACTGAATCCTTGAACAACCCTTGAAGACAGATACTATTATTGTTCCCATCTCACAGATGAAAAAACAGACTAGCATCCCTACCTCTGAGAAGCTCTGAGCTCTTGGCTCTCTCCGCCTTCCACTCCACATCTGGTCTCTGGCCTTGCCCTTGGTTTGACGTTGGTTTGCTCTCGCCTCTCCCGTTTAGGCTATGGGAATTATCTTTAGAGTTGTCGATAGTTGTTTTTTTGGTTTTTTTTGTTAATCCTTACCGAGAGTATTTTTTCCATTGATTTTTAGAGAGAGTGGAAGGGAGGAAGAGAGGGACAGAAAGAGAGAGAGATGTGAGAAAGACACATTGATTGGTCGCCTCCTGGATGCGCCTTGATTGGGGTTGGGGATTGAACTGTGAACCGGGTGCATGCCCTTGACCAGAATCTAACTCATGACCCTTTGGTGTGCGGGCCAATGCTCTAACCAATGAGAACACTGGCCAGGGCGAAAGGAGTTGGTTTTGAAGTCTGAAGACCTAGTTAAAAATTCTCGCTCTACAACTTAATAGTTTTCTAGGCAAATTACGTCATCAGTCTACTTCATTATGGAGAAAAACATTTATTTGGCAGTTTTCTTAAAATAGTGTGTGTACGATGCCTGGCACTTGGTGGCAACTTTGGGTCTAAGTTCTACTTTTGTTATTTCCCACCTGATCTCCTCAAGTAGGTAGGATCTCAGGCTCGGAATCTCTTTGCTCTGGCTGCTAAGTTGGGCCTAACTCTTTCACCATTGTCTCCCTTACATGTAATTGAATACTGCAAATGGCTCAGTGTGCCTCCAGGCCAGCTCTGGAGGCTGAGAAGTCTTGGGCTGGGCGCCTTAGGAAGCCCAGGGCTCACTGCTAAGCCAGAGATAAAATCTCAGCTCACAGAGCATGCAGTTAAGGACAAGAAAGTTACATGGCATTTGGGAAATTCATTCAATATTATTGATGGTTCAGGGACCAATTATATAATTTATACACCATATTAACCTTTTTCTCAATCTTCTGCCTTCTAGGTATTCAGATGTGTGTGTGTGTGTGTGTGTGTGTGTGTGTTCAATAAACCTTCAGAAGGTGGGGAGTGGGAGAGACCTTCCTTCTGGATGTAGAGAACTGGATGGCAACCCTTTGGTGGACTCTGGAATCCTCACCTTGTGTAACTGGCAAGACAGGGCAAGACTCAGCCCTGCTGATCCGCTCCCATCCCTGACAGGCTCCAGAAGGGCCAGATCACAAAAACTGACTGACATGAGAGGTATTGCCACTAAGTAGTATCCAATCACAATTAATTAGCCACAGAAAAGTAAACCCTGAGTGAGGCCTGAGATGTGTAGGTCTGATGTCATTCAGTCCCCAGTGACGCCCTGAGCGGAGGTGTTATTATTATTATTATTAATGTAGCTGAGTCTTAGCTCAGATAAAATGTCTGTCCCTGGCCCCACAGCTAAAAGGAGGCAGAGCAGACTCAGGCTCTTCCTCCCACATCTGTTACTAGAGGCTCCGTGATAGTGGGGAACCTCACTGCTGAGACGGCCACTTTTCACCTGCACTTAGTTCAGCCCTGGCTTGTAGAAGAAGCAAATAATGTCCATCTGTTTGTTTTAAATGAATATAGTCTAACAGTAGGAAGAATAAAAGGTGAGTGAATCATTTCCAATGGACACTGGGCTAGTTACAAACAACAGCCTGAACCTTAGGAAGCCCAGGGCTCACTGCTAAGCCCTGGTCTGGTCTGGGCCAAGAGCAGTCTGTGTGGTCCACAGGGCACCCCTGACCTAGTTCAGGACCGTATCCACCCCCTCCTTCTGTCCAGTACATAAGATACTGTAGACCCTCCACTTTAGATATATTTCAAAAATCACTAGTCTTAGGAGATCCTTGGCTAAAAAAAGGTCATGAGGTCAAATATATTAGCAAAGACGCTGCTT